AGAGAGAGAGAGAATACAGGAATCGACACAATTTAGCTACTTTTTATATAGATATGTTGTTGGTGCTGTCTATCGTCGCAGTCTTAAGTCAGGAATTATTTACATGTATATTTCTTTCTTCAAGTTGACTACTGTGGTATTCAGTTTGATTACCACATTGTATAATGAATTATCTTCTCCCTGCCTGAATAACCATAAATGGATAGTAGATAACTCTAAATTCCATAGATTTACGTAAGGTCGGAAGACTTCCGGTGTATCTTGCTTCTTTGATCACTGCCAATTTGTCAGCTGACATTCAGAAGCCATTAAGCTTTAGGTCCAGAACGAAATTATATTCCGATTGGTTTTCCCATGATGAATACTCTTATTTTAATTGCTTTATTATTGGTAGCCTAAAAGGAGAAAAAAGGCTTCCTGTTTCTCTTTCCGGGAATCCATAGGTTCTAATAGAGCTTCGCTTTTATAGTCCATATATCCACATATACCTTTCTTCTGATATTTTGGGCCTTCCGTTTATAAAGCACTGCCGTTATGTGACCTTTTTTCTACAGAAAATCCATATCGCGGTTTTGAAGCGGCAAAAATAACTGCCCAAGTTAACGTCTTTGGTCGCAGCAATGCCATAGCCCTTTTCTAAGCCGGTAAACTTTACCTTCGTTTAATTAGTAATTCTTAGTCGACTTTTCTGAATCCTACGGTTCCCCAATTGAACCGAAAAAGAAGTCTACTTTTCAACGCAGTTTACGTTAATCGTTGAAATCGAATTTTGATGCAGTGGTTACAGCGGCAATCAGCGTTTAAAGTTGTGATGCTTGTAGGGGTATTTCATTGGGCCCTTTAAACCTTGTAGGAGTAGGAAATTACATATGTATATATACTTGAAGATTTTGGATTAGTTTAGTACATATACTTACTACTATTTGCTACACTATGGCTTGTCAGAACACTAGCCGGTCTGCGCATTTAAGCGATCTCCTTGTATCTTGTTCTCTGCCGTTTGAGTAGTGGTAGTCACCCATAAAAGTACTAAGTGGCTATTGGCACACGCAACTCGTTCTTGCATTCTGGTTCTCATTACCGAACATCCATGTAGTAAGAAATTTATTGTCTCAAGTTCCCTGGGAAACCTGAGAAATATGTCCGAACAATTTAAATTGTACGCGTTTAACGCGCAAGCTAATTGCTAGGTAATTTGGACACTCCAGACAGCTCCATGCCGGAAGCTTAATCATGCGGAGCGGCTACTGTGGACACGGCATAGTACCACAGATGCAATTGTTGCCATTTCGAATTTTCTTGCTGGGCTGTACTAGAGGTTTTAGACCGAACAATTTAATTTCAAAATTGAGCGGGCATGGTTACTCTACCTGTGGTGGTAATGAGGTTTAGCTGCGCTGTAGGCTATGGGGAAAGCTTTTTACTATGGACTCGAATTTCATCCTATCATTAGTGTTCTCTCATTCGACCAAATCGATCGATAAGTCACCTATATTTTCCGCAGACTTGAGCCCGCAAACGTACCGAATGCTGGTATCAATTAGCTCTAACAGCCAGTAAGACATAGGTTCCACTCTCTCACTAAAATTGAAGAATAGAAAAAATTACTATTATTGGCTTGGCCGTTTACAAACATGCGCGAAAACGGCTAACAAACTGCACCATTCACATTGTGCGATAAACAGCAGGTAGGTAGAGAAGTAACGAGTGATTTCTTAAAATGCGGCGTTTTACATAAATTTTAACAATAAATATAACGTGGCTAAATTTTCCAATTTGGTATTGGTGAACTCACCAAGCCAGATCTTGAGACCCTCTTGATTGCAAAACGCGCTACTAGCAATTTCCGTTTTCCGGAATTTGGAGAAATCAGTACTCTGATGGCATTTGTCGCGGGAATATAATGGATGCAAAAACAGCTTCAACGACCTTTTCTAAGTGTGGTATGTATGACATTCGCGAGGAAACAACTGGCTTTGCGTTGTCTATTCGGTCTTTGCCTCGCCCCCTTGAGTCAATTAGGTTATGCACAGACCTTTAGAGACCTCTCTGATTTTACCAAGCGAATCAGTGTTTCATCAGCCGGCGATATGGGTTCATCTTGGACTTCTGTATATTTCCCATTAAGTTTTCTGCCTCACGAGCAACAATTCTGTCGAAACCTCTCATCATGGCTGCGTGTTGTCCTGCAGAGGGCTAAACGCTAAAACCATTTCTCGTTAACCGGCCGATAGAGGCAAGATTCATCCCTCAGGCCCAAAATGCTATTACTGAACTGAGCAAGCCACCTTTGAGCAGTTCGCACGAGCAGGAAGCTTACAGTGTACATAGCGGATCTATTCCTATTAAGCTTTTGGCCTCGACAAAACGCGAAATGTAGAAGATCAGGTCTTGGCCTCAAAACATGATTATATTCACCACACAATAAACTTACGACGGACTTCTACAAGTAAACAAATGCTGAGAAGTGACAGAAGAAGTGAACAATTGAAAAAATGTCATTACTTGTTATTACTACTATTTCCACTTTTACGCTGTCCTCAAACCTAATTTTGGACAGCTGATCTTTAGGACTAAATGAAGAGCGTCTGCGCCCCGCTTAGAATCTCACCTATCCTTAATTTAGTAAACAAACATGTGACCATTGCACCATCACGAAACCAAGCAACCTATTATTTTTACTATTATATTAAACCTTTAAATATTCCATATCAATAAATGGCACGGTCCAATTTTTCACTCGAATATACTAACAATTAGTATAATTATTAGTATCTTCGAAACCGAAACGATGAAATGTCTTAAAAAAAACAAATTTAATTAAGCTTCTGCTTGAGTCGTCAATATCAGGCGCAGTCAGTTGACAGTCACAATGAGCACAAGCCACTTGAATATAAATTAACGGACGACCTCTTCTAAAATGACAAACACGGATTTGAAATATGCAGTAACATTCTTTACCTGATCACACAGGTCGTGTAATGTACTTACGTTGATATGTGCGACAAATTGACACAGACGGTTAGTTATACATAAAAAAAACATCATCTCCATGAATAATTCGGGCTTGTGGAAACGACCTATGCAAGGACTGTGGCTTCCAAAGGCGTGATGCGGATCAAAACCTGTTTATAAGTGACATTTCCTTACTGTATCTTTGCCAAATTAATAGTCTTTCGCAAAAAAACGAGCGAGTAGCCAAGACAGATGGTTTTGCAAGAAACCACCTTGGATAGTGGATAGGTTGAGATGAGTGAAGACATGCGCGTACAGATAACGTTCATAAGCGGTGGATTCAAGTTCTGCACAAATGATTCAGGATGATTGAGAAACACGCTGAGTAGCGTAGTTGTTGAAGCGGACGTATTCATTTTTATTGTCTATTTAAAAACATGCTAAAGAAGAGCATGTCCTACTTTAAATAGGATTCGTCTACTTAGTAGACATTCTTATGTTTCCATAACAATTAATCCCTACATTAACAATGAGAAGACCAATATACTCTAGCAAAGCTCTATCTGTACTCCATAACGAAGTGATGTATTCTCTTCGATAGCGAGTTCGTGCGTCGCTTTCCGTTAAACAGACGATGGTAAGTCTGCTTGAAGCAGTGCGACTCGATTTCCTTTCACGTTGGGAGCGCCCTTCTCTCTCTCAAGCTTCCCTTACTGCTGGTCACTTCGATATTCTTCGCTGCCTAGGGAAGGGAAGCTATGGTAGAGTTTATTTCGCCAGACATAAGAGTTCCGGTACTGAAGTTGCCCTGAAGGTTCAGAACAAACGAAACGTCATCAAAAAAGACAGTGTAGCAAACGTCCTTTCGGAAAAACACATTCAGGCATGTATGATCCGATTCGATTTCGTAGTGCACCTACTATATCATTTTAAGGACTCATCCAATCTCTACCTGGCGCTGGAATTCCTTCATGGAGGTGACTTTTTTCATCTTTTGAAGACGCGCGATCGACTTGATGAGGATGAATCACGATTCTACGCCTCCAACGTAATTCTCGCAATCGAGTTTCTACACAGCGTAGACATTTTATACCGAGATTTGAAACCTGAAAATATTTTAATCGATTCTACGGGCTATCTGAAAGTGTCGGACTTCGGATTTGCAAAAAAATGTTCCGGCAAGACCTACAGTTTGTGTGGTACACCAGAGTATCTGGCTCCAGAGATTGTCTCTATGCGCCCGTACGGTAAATCAGTAGATGTGTGGGCGTACGGAATTCTTATATTTGAGATGCTTTGCGGCAAAACGCCATTTGCAGCTAACGAATATCGAGACATCTGTAACAAAATCTGTAAGGAAAAAGTTGACTTCGGCGAAGTAAAAGTGACTGACCTCTGCAAAGATTTAGTTGTCAAGCTGCTTGCAAAAAAACCTAGCAAGCGGCTAGGCGTGTCAGGTCGCGGAACGCCAGGTACGTACTCACGTACATCAACCCACGAATACCAGACCACACATCTCGCGCGCCATGTCACCTTTCTCAGACCTTGTACAGCTGATTTATGAAGCAGTACTATCGACATGTGGTTACCACGCGTAGTTAGGAATACTTTAAGCTTTCCCTCATAACATACCTCAATCAATTTGTTGGCTCCTTTCGTTTTCTTGCTAGATACAAATAAAATAGACGAATTAAGTGAAGTAGCCCGTTCCATGCGTTTATAATGTGTTGCATTAAGCATATTCTTTGGCAAATGAAGTCGCCGCAGTTGTTTCGTACTCGAGCCTCAGCCTCAGAGAGTGCTCCTCAAACATTCTTGGTCACTTTTTTGGGTAAAATGAATTAAATTTGGTGGACCTACAAATTAGCAATGTCGCTGCCCAGTGCTCAACGAACATCTTTGTTAGTGATTAGTGGGTTCGAATTAATTGAGTATAGAGCTCGATAGCCCGATTCCATCGAAAAAGGTAGTCTGATTCATTCGTTTTATTCAATCCTTCTGCTACCATAGTACGACGCAACATCGCATCGTAATGTCGCTTCACATGTGGTACCAACACATCGGTCATAATGCTGCTGCTGCTTTGTCGCATATATCAGGAATTCGTGAACACGGCTGGTTCCTCGCGGTGGCCTGGGAGGCTCTCCTGCAGCGGAAAGTATCACCTCCACGGAGTTTTCCCGTCGTCGAGGAAATCCAGAAGGAGCAGACGTTCAATTTACCTGGCGCCGGTGACGACGGCGAGGATTTATACGCAGCGGAATTCGCCGATTTTTAGTTCGCTTAGTACCAGCTTTACCCATTCGCTGATTATATCGCTGATGAACTACCATTGTGTATATTGTTATAATGAAAAAAAACCAAATGTGTTACACATGTAGGTGTGGTAATATTTTTCAAAATAACATGATTTATTATTAATAAAGCCATTAAACATTAAACACATTTATTTATTCGATCGAAGAACCTAGGTCAGTAATTATTAAGAGCAGCAGTCAGCAGGATGAATAGAAAACTGCTATTCGATATTTAATAGTAAAGATAACTCTAAAACCAATAGTAGTTAGTATACTATTACGTACGTTCGATACAGATGTACTAGCATCATAAATAAGCACTCAGCACACGTCTGCGGATAATAATACTAATAAGAAACATTGGAAACAATTTTCCGCTGGTCACCATTTAAGAATGAATACCACTTCTTCATCTCAGTTGTACATTGTTTTGTTTGCGTCACAAATTGTTGTCGTTGTTGTTAAATAGAGCAATCAAGGAACCGCTGGCGTATGATCAATGTTTCATGACGGCGTTTTGCAGAAACCTACCGAGGCTAAGGACACGGATAGTATTATCAAATGACAGTTGCTCGACATCTATGTGAGGATATTTATTCCAGAACTTTGAAAGCTTAACACTTATTTTTTTTTCATTTTGACCGATCTGCGGCTTCGTTTCCAACGACGAAACAATAGTAGGTGCTGCCTCGTTACGAACTAATAATATCCGTAATAGCTGATTTTATCTCACACAGTACGGGTACACCTTCCTTCCACCTCGCGCTTTTTCTCTACAACGGTAACTCTTGCTTATCTTTTAGTGCTTTTTCTATCAGCCTGTCTGTCAGTCAGTCAGTCAGTCAGTCAGTCGTCATTCCCTAATATAATATTATTAAATTATAAATATAATTTTTCATTTACTAAGCATTTTAGAGTCAGGTTCACTTCATGAATATTCTTTCGGTCTTTGTTCTGGCTATTTTCTCAGATCCTATATACAGAAGGTAGTAATAGCATCGTTGAAGAAAAGGGAGCACATGGTTTTGGTAAATATCGCTCTACTCTGTTATATATGGCAAAATAAAGCGATACTTACGTACATTTATGTTGTTGCGACCAGTTAGGGAGGCCGTTGCACCACTTGGCAAAACTTAATAATATTTTCAACGTAAGATTTCATTGAAACTCTGAACACGTGGGTAAATAATTTAATATCCAATAATTTGTTAAATAACGATACTACGGTAAAATAGGTTCATGCGTATTTTTCCTATAAATATCATCGGGTCGTTTTTTTGGTTTTTTAGCTATTAGTAGTTTGTGCCTTCTGTGACGACTCGAACAGTTTACGTAGAGCCGTAGATTTCTCTCTCTTCCTTTGATTACTCGTTGTTTAAAAGGTAGTAAAAGCTTCGTCAAGATCATCGGCTTCTCTCTATTTTTCGTGTTTACTTCGCGCATAAATTGGTTAGTTTATGGTGATAACAGAGACAAACACTGCTATGATGCATTCAAAATAAGCCATTTGCTGCCTATATGAACACGTAACGCGAGTATACTTTCATCATTTACTTAACCACTGGAACACTTTGGAAAATGCATGATCTTTTATTTGTCCTTCGTTTTGGCCTATCGATTAACTTTTCATATAAAGACACAGGTGATATATGTGGAATACATACACACATAAGTCGTATACTGTCATAGAGGTCATGTGTTTCGTTCGTTGAAGCGTCCTCTGTCGTTGGGCGTCTTGTAGAGAGTTCCGCTTCTTACTTCCAAATTGTGCACGTCATAGACACACAGTAATTATAGTAACTAGTTTTCTGCTGCCTTTAAGAGCGATATGGCTGTGTAACGACTTGTAGTCTACTTTCTCAGCCACTTTTTGGTCGTTTCCCTCTTCGACAACGACCGAGAATAGAGGAAATCCAATTATGGCGTAATAGTCTTCAATCCAAAATTACCTTCTCCCACGCGCCCACGAAAGTTCAAGGCGCAGCCGTCTCAGAACCAAACTCCCTAAGTTTCATTATACTAGAAACGCTCTTGAGTAATTTCAGTGCGACCTTTTTCTCATATAGAAAAATTTATCTATATAATCTCACAGATTAACAAATACAATCATCAATTTAAGCTTAAACTTTGTTCTAACAATCTACCACCTAAAAAAGTATTCCACACAATCTTCGTAGTAGCGGCTGAGTAGAGCGGCTAAAGATCGAAATGGGCCACACTTCAATTCGTAAGCTAAGAAAACCGCTGCTAAAAATTTTTTTGCTCCGATAATGGCGAAATGTCGGATTCGAGCATCGTTCGAGAGAAGAAGGGTTATCTTCATATTTAATGTGAAAGACGCTTAGACGTTGCGAGCCTTCTCCGTTTCAACAACCATCATAATCTTTTGTAAAGTGACAGTCATGTTATCTGCAAGGCAAATTATAAAGGGAATTTCTCTATATTAAATATTGGAACCATAATTGCCTAGTTGTTTGTTTGTTGTATTTTTGTTTATATATATTCATACTGTATTAGACCCATTAAGGGTCGCATAGCACGTTACGTGTCAAATATGGCTCCGAACAGGGCCGATCAGCACCGCAGGAATCTCGTACACGTCTACTAAAAAAAAGTAAGTAAAAAAAAAACTGTACTTACAGAAGAACTTCTGAATGAACTTTGGTTTACTCTTCCAAGCACAGAATACGTAATAGACGGGCGCCCCAGTAGCAATGATCAGACATCCGACTCCAGTTTCGGTCGGTTTCGCAATCATAGGGACAATAGTGATGAAAGCCGTCGCCGCCAGATAGATGACCGGGAATATCATGTGTACCTATTATTAAATCATAGAAAATATAGAAACATCAACTAATTTGGGGGTTGACCGGTTGGACTAATCTATTTCTCCATTGGTAAAGCGTTCCCTCGCTCCGCTACTTTTTCTGATTTTTTTTTTTTAATTTTTTTGCTGATTCCTCAAACATGTCTTTCTGCTTACACGTGATGTTGTGCAGTAATAATGGCACCCTGTACATTGAGCGTAGTCATCGAAACGTTACGCGAGCTCAGTTTATTTAAAAAAAAAAAGACCAATGCGCTATAATCCAGTGTTTTGTGGTTGCAAATTCGGTTTTGTTGATAGCTAAGTATCTTTCTTTAAAAGCCGTTAGGATGTTATAGGAAGATGCACACAAAGGCGGAGGCACCGAAAGCACGCTGCGTACAGCACGTTCATACGGTAATCAACAATAGATAAGCCGCAGAGTGCTTAAAACGACAATAATATTGGAGTTACTATTAAGCCTAATACGATATATGCATATAGCATTGCATGCAGCTCTCAATATCCGTATTTCGACAGTAAAAATAAATGGTTCCGATAAAGAATGATCATGTTCAGTGCTGTAGTAATATTTCATGCACTTGTTACCTTGACGCGCCTTTCCCATTCTGGATGCTTCCAGCGGAAATATGGCAATGTAGCAACGGCAAGCCCAATCGACAGCCAAGTAGCAAAACCCACGTAGGTGATTAATGCGCTAATGTTCTTCGAGGTGAGGTAAACCAGTGAGAGCAGGCACATGGCGAGAATAGCTGGTGTTGGCGTGAGGTGGCTCATCTGAATCATACAGAGCAGACGGGGCATTTGGTTGTTCTCGGCACCAGCAAAGAAGAGTCGTGATGACGTAAACAGAATACCGTTTACGCCGCCAAAAGTGGACAATGCTACGAAAACGGGGACGATCCACGCCATCCATCCGTAAAGTTTTTCAGCGAAATTGACCGCAACAGCCTCGGTGGCCAGCACTTCCGGAATTGAAAGGGTCGTGTGAAATGCTACAATGGCCAACGTGTAGACAACCATTACCAGGACACACGAAACGAAAATAGCACGTGGTAGGTTGCGGTGAGGATCCTTTAGTTCTTCGATGACAAAGTTCAAGTAGTTCCTGTAAGAGATATGAATGAACCAAAAGACTTCGTTTAGGGATTCTGTATGGGATTGCAACATTGTTATGATATCTAGCGTCCTGGCAGGCCAAACGGCCTAATCGACTCCACTATAAATGAAACGTGAAACATTACTGTTGTACATGGATCGTTTTAGATTAAGAGCTAACTGACAGATTTCGAAAGGATTTGAATTATTAGTTTCCACACACTGTTAGAATGTTTATTTCCTGTAGCGCAATGAGTTATATATGTGTATCTGAGTTGAAAGCTTCGCTTTGGTTATATGTTAGGCAATACGACCCAACCTCACGGCAAATCGGATTAAAAGGTAAGCATCCAAATACCGCCGGGATATCGTTAATGTATAGGGTGTTACATAGATTCATTATAATAGTCATTTATATAGGATTCATCGTATTCTGAGTTCTTTGCTTACTTGTATCCATAGAGTACCTCTCTTCACTTTTTCCATCGTGTTATGGTAAGAAGCTCTCCAGTGGGTGTATGTGTGTGTCTAAATGACTGTATGACTTGAGGAAAGTATATGTTAAACATCCGTTCTCGTCCACTTAGTCAACGACAATTCTTCACAAATATCAGCCTGTAGAAATATATGTTCAAAACTCAAGCAATCAATCTTCGTGCATCGATGATATTTCCCTTGATTTGATGATCAGAAGCTGGTTAGGGTTTACATAGAAATGTTTTTATCAAGGCTTCGTTTCTCTACACGGACCTTGCAGAAAGCAGCACCTGAATATTTTATACATTCGGACCCGTTGGCTCAGTTCACCTTTGCATTTTTATCGCGAGTCTTAGCTACTATTGTCGACTACATACTGATCAAGCTGTCTGCAAAACAAATCTCCAAGATGACTATATCAGTACGTTGTTATTACTATTGTCCGTATAGCTAGTCTGTGAGGGCAGTAGCAGTATTTCCAGAAAAGAATCTCTTCTGATCCATGTGACATATTTTTCATAATCAACTCGCACGGTGTACTAGAAGCAACGAAGCTTTCCATCCCCAATATGTTATCAACCCCTGTTTCCTTTTGTTGAGGAGCTTTTGATTAGAATTATGGGTAAAGCCGTGATACTCCGGATCTTAGAAATCGAGTTAGCGATAATTTGCTTGGAAACTATCGGTGGGGCGCATTCGCGATCCCTGTAAATAATTAGGTTTTGGTAATGTGTTATGATTTCACACGCCTTAAAATAGCTAATAATAAAACTATAATTAGTTCCTTGATGGCTCACCATCCGTTGTAGGCGAAAAGACCGGAGTAAAAAGATAACGCGATCTTCGTGATGTCTGTTTCTGTATTGTCCCACGTAAAGTACTCCGTTTTTCCTATATCCATGCGGCAAAAACTTATTAGTTGGTCAATCAATTTGGTGAAGAAATGTATATATTTTGAGCTAGTTATTGTCTGTGGAAAATAACAGTTTGCTCTATAAATGTGTTTCTATAGGAAAAATACTAGTTGTTCGGTTTAGAACTATTTTTTTTTGGATCTGTCAAGCCGTGAACCATTGCAGCTTGCTAGACGCCAATTTCGTGATTATCTAATTTACTACCAATTATGTTATAACCTAATCATCTACATAAACCTTTCGGCCCTGTTCTTAACAGGCGGAACCTGGGATCACAAAACAGAAATAGACTTTCTTATATCGAAATAAATTAGATAGCTAGCTATTTAGCTCTGCTCAACAGTCACCAGGCGATACAATATTACCTTCGGAATAACACTGAAATGCTAGCACTCGAGAGGCGGCATTTTTGAAATTTTTCAATGTAAAATAAATGTATGAATGAACTACAACGTTTCGTAATTCAAGATATTTTGTTAATTGATATATGCTGTGGACAAAATGCCAGAAAGCTTTATACCATTGCCGAGTTGGTAGAAGCCAGTTGTGATGATGATTGCCAGTGCTAGTAATTTTCCGTAGGTGAACACGTCCTGCACAGTTGTCGCCCATTTTACGTCCCAGCAGTTGATGAACGTCAGAAGAACTTAGCACAGTAAAATTAAGAAAAAAGCAAAGTAAATATCTGATCTCAATAATGAATAAGTTATGTTATAGTTGTGACAGATCAGACTATTAGTACGGCAGTGACTGGTATATAAAATGTGTAGTACGTTTGTGTTAAGCAATAACTTTTTGGCTGTAGCCGATAATGTCCATATACGCTACGCTTTTACTGTACACAAGGCCGCACTTGTAGGTGTATATATGAATATATAGTATAGGTTTATGCATAATAAAATATAATAATTATCACATTATATATATATATCGAAGTATACGAATGTTTGTAAACGCACAGCTTATTATGGGTCACAAAAGGCAAGATATGCAAATTGATAGACAGTAGTTAATACCAGCGACAGCACTTGTTCCGTCAATGCCACCGCTACCATACGGTAGGTGAACGCAATCTTCTACTTCCATTATCTTGCTGACTCTTCTCCCTTAATAACCCTGTTATATTATACATACACCCCTCTAGTCCTCGCGGCGATTACCATCGCTGTGGCGCCTGAGCTAACCCTCAAAGAGCAGTTTAGGGTGTAAGAGTACAGAGCTATCCTGTGGAGGAACTTTGCGACCTTTCCCGTCTTCCGTTCCTTTTCCCACTGGGCGCTCACCTGCCTCGAAGCAATGTCAGTTCAGTGAGTGAGTGAGTGAGTGAGTGGGTATCTGATTTAGCTGAAGGACAATAAGGTCACCCAAGCCCAAGAGAAGGCAAAGAGCCTGGTAGATGGGGGGCTGCGTGGTTGTCGTGGGAAGTGGGCCAGGGACATGGTATGAGTTTTCGCTGGGGACCAATTAAAACCCACAAAACGGAGGCACACTTCAATGACCGTGGGGAATCTGTTTGGCAGAACAACAATGAGTGAGTGAAGAAGTGGGTACACGAATGCTGGTAAGTGAAAGAGTGACTGAAGTGGAATGGAAAGGGTGCCTGCCACCCTCCTTTCTGCCTGAGAGCAGTGGAATGGCGGAGATTCAGAGGCAAATGTAGCTGCAGCTTTGATACATCGAGCGAACTTCGCGCTTCCTATCTTTTCTCTGAAATATTATTTTCAGCTTTTTCTACTCGCAGAGGCAATAGAGCTCTCACCTCCATCTTGCAATGGAACGAATGTTTCTACCTTAAAAGACGCCGTTAAGGTGAAAAACTCATGGGCTGGTCTGAGAAGGGAATTATCTACATGCTGTATTCGTTGTAAGAAAACTAAAGTGGGAACGGCAAAGTCTTAATAAATTATGCATTTATTTTAGAAGATAAACATATATATATATATATATATATATATATATATATATATATATGTATGTATGGGTATAATTTGCGACAGTTATACGCAACGATAAGCAAAGTTGGGGATTCGATAATTTTGTCAATAAATCGATACGAATCTACCGGCAAGAAACGAAAAGTCTACGGAGCGATGTTGTCCCAGGATAGTTTGCTATTTCGCTTAAAAATGATTCCAATTTAATAAAAATATGCTGAAGCGTTAGCTTTAGCATTCTGGATCATGCTACGATGCTATCGATATTCTAGAGCAAACCCTCCTCATATGGGAATACCTACAGTGTGTCATAATAAGTTCGAAATCAGTACCCGGCACAATATATTGAGTTCTCGTGTCATTCAAAATCATTATATGCATCAGTCGAAGTCTGCGACTTCACCTATAGTCGGAGCACTCACAACTACTATCCATTGATTTACTCTATTAGCGGCTGAGGTTCATACTACGTGACTGATAGTTACACATTGATACTTTATACACATTTGTAAATCGTAAAGCAAATATAATCCGAAGTACTTTGCTGATCGTTCACGGGATGTGGCGTTGACACAAACGCTACTCCTTCTTGCTACAGACAGTTATCATGCTATCGACGTTTTTGGTACCGTCAAAAAACGTTTTCATCGATAGGATGCATGAGACCTACAGGTATCATCCGTTGGATCAGTTAGTTTGCTAGACGTTACTATATTTTACCGCATCTTATCAATATCGCATGCACTACTTGCCGACCTGCGCTATTCCTTTCAAAGGCCGTCCGACTTCACAGGTAATACTTGATAATCTCAATTCAGATAGCTTACTGGCTGAATAGACGACAACAAAAGCGATGAAATAGAAGGAATTGCCACAGATGGCATGCTGATTACTAGTGGCAGCAGCAGCAGTGAACGTCGGCTTAACGGTAGTCGAACTCGCAGAAATATCTTTAGCGGCGGTGGTTGACTTGTTGCTCGCTTGACGATCTCGATTAATATTATTGTTGTTATGGGTGATGATAACGGCAGGGGACCGGCCTCTTGCCGCTGACGTCCTTCAAAACGGAGCTGATGCACTCATTCACCTCATCTCCTGCTTACTACGGACAACAGAACGATGACCCCAATTGATTGTCCACAGCGTCTGAAACTGAGTGGTAAGGAGACTTTAAAGAAGGAGAAAGAAAGCAGCCGGGCTTCAGGAAAATACCATGAAGATGACGAAGGTCAAGCGCAAAGAAGGCAGCCATCGAGCACCCAGTGAAATAGACGGAATAATAGAAACATGTTGCCAAGCAAGCTTGTAGCTTGAAAGCCAGCTAGGGATGAAATCGACCAATACGGGAAACGGATTCAATGAACTGACAAATTTAAGAGGACCAACAGTGTGGGAAAGAGAAGATCGTATACCAGCACATCTCCAATATTGCCAACACCAATCGTCGCCATAGCGCCCACGAATAAAATGACCTACAGCATATGCCCTTGGCTTTGAACAGCCGCTTACTAATAATAATAACATTACATTAGAATCTGGTACAGGTACCTTAAGCATGACAGCTAATACGTTCTCAATAAGCTTGCCGGTGCGCGAAGCAATTCGAGGAAGTGCTCGTCTCAATGACAATCAAATATGTCGAAAAAAAAAACAATTTAATCAAACAAACGCTTCATGTCTTTAGAGCTAATAAATCGAAAGCATACAAAAAAACCTGTTATCTCTTAATGAATAAATAGGATTTCACTTGTTGGAACTGCATTTGGTATATACGAAAGCGCATTATTATCCATCGTTAAAGATTTTTCAACTATCCGCGGATTTGAACTCGATCTACGACTTGTCGGGCGGCCCTGTCGCGGTTACGTTACCTCTCTGGCTTAAAAGCAGATGATTTGAAGCGGTGGTAAGCAGGACCTAAACTTAACTGTCCACTAAAAGTTCTCCTAAATATTCTTACAGCGCCGTTCTAATTTCGAATTCGAACGGCGTCATCACGCCATCAAACGACTGGCTTCCAGCACGGAATGAAGTGTTTCTACACCTGGATTTAAGCGTTAATTACCACGTATTCGTCTAGCTCAGCAGCCAAACATGTTACCCGATACGCCATCAGGATGCCGTACCCATACCCAATCTATCTAAGAGCCAGCTACCTGTTGCGAAACACCTTTCCCGAGGTGGTTAATAGTTAATTTAATGTCACTGTTCGTTCAGTACGAAGTACCTTTTTAAGTATGGTTTTTAACTTTATATACCATAGCTTAACCGACTAACTTTGCCAGGGGCACAGATGAAAGCAAGTTGAGATTAATGAACGCCGGGTTCACAATAAAAATACAGACAGGTACAGGTTACGTGCAGCCAAAAATAGACGTATTCCGTTTTATAATATATATAAAAAAAAATCTCATTAAAGTCCGCGTGCGTCTGGCCTACTGCTATTGAAATAAGGTGAGCAAAATTGATACTGCGGATTGTTGTCTAGACATCTTTCTAAATCAAAGTTCTACCACTATTCTATTCTTATTGCGGTGTCGATCTATTTACAAACCCGCACTACCGACCAATTAAAATATATAGCACAATCGAAATGGGTATCAGCAAGAATCAGTTGTACTAACTGACACCATCATGACCTAGCTACTTCACTAGCAGTGAAGTGTTGCGACGCAATATGGAAACAAACTATAGCTCTGGTGGGCACTCACCTCGTGAGGGCACACGAACGAATAACATATCGACAATTAGTTTAGTTGCTAATTACTTGAGTAGCAGCATATTATAATTGTGCTTTCTTGAGTAAGGCAAAATGCTGCGCCTTTGATCGGATAACGATTCAGGGCTTTTTTAGGACGTTCAGATCGTCAATAAACTTGTCATCTTTCATATACTGGATATAATCACGAAGGAACGCAGCTTATTCTCATTCTTATTCTGCACCGTGGATATGAGGCTGCTGAAGCCTTTCAATAGACGCATAGCTCAAGCACTGGTCGCTTATGACCTTTTTCTTCTCGTTAGGGCAGCCTCATTCTTCTTTGTTCATAGACAGAGATAGAACTAGGTAACTTTGTTACTCCTTAGTAACTCTGGCTGGCGGCTCATCGATTTTGTTAGCTAAAACGACACCAAAAGGGCAGATTAGTTCACCACTCGATAAGATAGGACGTGGACCATACCATAAAACCCGCGCATAGCTTCAGCTCAGGCTTGTCCTGTACCCTAGTCCAATCTCGATCAGGGATATCGACAGGTGCTCATAGGACATAGCTTCAAATAGTTTTAATATAATGGAACTATGCGGTTAAAAGATCAAAACTACGATTAAAAATGTTGAAACTCGAAGAGTCGGTAAGATGGAGGCCTACATACTCACGTCATGGATTCAAATACCAATATACACCTGAGTATGTATACTTGCTTCCCAGTTGTACATATGCACATTAGAAAAATTGAGTCGAAAACGATAACTGCTCGTGCTTTTAGCGATATCTCTCTTAGCCTAGTAGATTGTATCGTGGGGAGCAGTTAAATTTCAGATGGTATCCAATAGGGCGAATCTTTCAAAAAATAAAGTGTGCTCTATAGACGGCTAGAGGTTAGTTAGCTAGTAGGGAATTTTGTACTCCTGAACGGATAATGCTGCTTCTACGGAGCAGTTGGCCCAATGTGGTTGCGGGAAGCGTAAATCAATGTCAAAGGCAAACAA